TAAAGCAAAAGAGATATGTTAGGGCAGTGAAGCAAACACAGAGAACCCTTTCCTCCTCTTCGAAACATCCCGCCCTGTTCCCTTTCGCACCCCCCCCCCCTCCTCTCCCCCCCCCCCCACGCCTGTTCCCGGGTCTTCCTCTCTTCTCCCCTTTGTCTGATCAGGTCCATTAGTTGAATAGATTCTCGGCAGCGAGGTGGCGGTTGGTCCGACTAGGGGCAGAAGGGGATAGGCCTGAAAACCTTTTTCGGGGGGGGGGGGAAGACATGGAAGGATGGTTTCTGGGGGAGCTTGTTGAGGAACGAAATCGAGGAGGTGTGGCCATGTTTAGTTGGGTCCCAGGTAGAGAGCGATTCCCTTTCTCATAATCGAAATATCTCAGTGATGAATCCTTTTCTCATGTTTATATTATGATCGTCGCTTGAACATCTGACCCATGCATAGGAATTGACTTGTCCGGGACAAGTTTAAGGTTGCTCGTTGGCAAATGGCAGACGTGCATGCAAGTCGGTGACGTTTTGAGGGGTATGGTGGACTGTGTAGCTGCTGAAGACAAGGATCAAGGCGACTTGCATCGTCAACATGGTGACGATGGCTTTGACAACTTTCTGGAACAAGAGTTGGAGCGGTTGAAACGAGCGAGCCACCACCATAAGGCGACAGATCGTTTATACGTTCTTAGAGCTTCTGCAAACAGCAGTGCCATGATCGACGGATGGTGGGCCGAGTTCGGCGTATTCGAAGGAATCAGCATCAACGCTCTTGCAGCGATTGCAAAGTCCCGCAGAATCGAAAAGTCCAAGGCTCCTACACACATCTACGGGTTCGACAGCTTCGAAGGCTTACCAGCACCCGAAACGGACGGGCGAACAGATTGGCTGACCAGGCGATTTGACCGGCGTGGTGAGTTGCCGCGAGTGGACGAGTCTGTCGAACTGATAGCAGGCTGGTTCTGTGATACAATCCCCTGCTTCTTGTCCAGAGCTGAAGTCCGGGGGAAACCTGCATCTCTGATCCACGTCGACTCCGATATCTATAGCTCCGCCATCTTCGTTCTTGAGGAGCTGACGCGAGCGGGGGCGATAGTGGAGGGAACGATCGTCGTCTTTGATGAGCTGCTGCACTATGAAGGCTACGAGCGCCATGAGATGAGAGCTTTGTGGGAGTGGGGAGGCAAGTTTGGAGCCGAATGGGAATGGATCTGCGTAAAGCATCGGGTCATGGGAAGGGAGGAGAGTCTGGGATCCTCCGTTCGCGTCCCTCACCGGCACCTTCGCTCTCAGGGATACGATCAGTCGGCCGCACTGCGAGTTGTGAAGCTGAATACAGCCGTTGTCGGCGAGCAGTCCGATCGGCGAGCAACTGAGAGCTGAGTCGAAGCGGAATGTCTAATTAAGTTATCAGAAGCTCAGTGCGGACTCGTCGGACTCTAATCAAGTTCGAAACAAGTACCGCTGTCTCACTGTGTGGGCCTCCGAGTCACCGGCGTGCTGAGATCGGACTCCGGACTGTCACTCCGGGCACCGGCGCCCGGACCGGAAGTTGGGCCCGGGGCAGCCTAAGTTAAGCTGGCCGCAGTGATCGGACCGTGGCCGGCTCCGGTCACCGGGTTGACTCATACACCGAGGACTCGGATGCCGCGGGGCCGCCCCCGCCCGGCGCCGCCGGCCCCGGGGCGGCGGGCCCGGGCCTCCGGACCGCCGGACCAGCCTGGGACGGCCGGGTGTAGTGTACGGGCCCCCCGCCCGGCCGGGCCGGGTCACTCATATCCACGGTACGGTCCGGGACCGTCCTGACGGGCCCGGGCCGGCCGGCCCTGCCTGGCTAGGCTTAACTCGAACTTGCCTATCCGAAGATCCCGCCGGTACGGTCCCCAGCGGCCCGGCCCTCGCCGGTCACTCAGAGCCGCCGGCCCGGGCCTGAGGCGGCGGGAGTGAGCCTCGGAGATCGGACAGTGTCGAGCGACGGCGCCGGCGCCGCCGCCCGCCGGAATCTCATCACCCGGCCGACTCGGCGATCATCGGATCGCAAGGCGGAACTCAGGGCCGTTGCCGGGAAGGCTCTCCGAATTCTGAAGTTCAATCCGGGTGACCGTTAACCGGTTGAGTTAACTTTGAGTAAAATTTCAGGCGTACTCAGTACCGTAAGAAGTGACCGGGTTATGGTCAGTCACGCCGGGCTGTCATGAAGTAGTAGGCGAACTTGGTTAACTTCGCAGGTCCGTGGAGTCGGCCCGGGCGAGAGTCAGCGTACCGTACTCTTGAGGATCAACTTTTAGTTGATCAACTTATCAGAGCGCCGGGCCCCGGGTACGTAGAGGATCAGGCACGAGGATGCGGGGAGTAGTGACTGAGTCAAAATACCCCGACACTGCCATCGGTAGATAGGGGTAGATAGGCCCCCGTGGGGTGGGGTATAGGATCACCTCCCCCGGCCTCAGACCGGGTGGGGTGGATAAATGGGGAGTGAGATGGTAGGAGGTAGTCGCAGAAAGTTCATTTTCACAACTTAATAAGGGTAGGGGTAGGGTAGGCGCAAGGGACATACCAAGTCCATGGGGTGTAAAGCAGGGAGAACAAAAGGAGGGTGGGGTGGTATTCAGGATGCACACGAGGACGGCGGAAGTAGGTCCAACAGGGGTAGGTGGATTGGATGTGTTCGTGACAGGTACAAAGTGCGTAAAGAAGGGGGGTAGTGGGGTAGTCGGATTAACTTTTCGAAGGGCAGTAGATTTGAAAGGAGGGTGGGGTACTCAAGTGTTTTAACATTGTTTTTAAAAAAAAGTGAACATGCAAGGGGAACAAAACAGGAGGAAGCAACCACTTCAAAGCAAACTCAGAGAAGAACAAAGAAGAAGTGAGTAGTAGACGTCTGAAGAGCAGGTGGTAGACATCTGGAGAGCAGGAAAGTGTGTTGGCATGCGAGATCTTACCGGCGAGGAGAGAGAGTCAGCCATGTCGTGTGCCGGGACTCCTGTTGCTTCGATGACAACAAATATTCCCCTGTGCCTCGAAGGAGGAGATTCATTGACATACTCTCTACCAACGTCTCCCTCTGACCCCTTCCGCTCTCTCATGCCGATTCTTGACGGAAAGCTGTATTTTACATGTGTACGGTCGATGCCTCCATCGGACGCAAAGCATGAATATTTCAAAATCCACAAGAAGTTCAAGTATGCTCCTTTCTGTGCAGATTTCGGGCCATACAACCTCGGAACAACCCATCACTTTTGTGATACAGTAAAACGAATGCTCAAGAATCCGGAAAACTCAAGAAAGCAGATCGTGTTTTGTTGTGGTGTGGAGACTGAAGATGTCACGAATGCGGTGTATCTCTTGGGATCGTTTCTGGTCTTGAAGATGGAGGCCAGTGTGCTTGACGTCATGCACATCTTCTCGGCCCTTCCTCGAGGAGTCTTGCGCCCCTACAGAGATGCGACGTGGGTACGGAGCACCTACGACCTCAAGCTAGACGACTGCTGGGCAGCCCTACAAAGAGCAGTGGCAACGGGGCTGTACATGCCCGCGTCCTTCAGCAAGGAGGAGTACTTCTACTACGAGGAGCCCTGCAATGGAGACATGCACGTGATCCTTCCCGGCAAGTTCTTGGCCTTCCGGGGCCCTGTGGGAAGGCGGGGCGGGCAGGGCTCGTCGTGTTTTGTACCGGCAGATTACTTTGAGGTTTTCAAGAGCCAGGATGTGAGCACGGTGATACGACTCAACTCACCTGAGTACGATAGAGAGGATTTTGTCAAGGGAGGGTTCAGCCATCACGAGCTGCAATTCCGAGACTGCAGCACGCCTCCTCCTCGTATCATTGATGAGTTCCTTAGGATCGCAGAGGGTGAAACCAGAACTATCGCCGTGCATTGTCTCGCGGGACTCGGCAGGACAGGGACGCTCATTGCGATCTACATTATGAAGCATTTCTACTTCACAGCAGCTGAAGCCATCGCATGGGTCAGGATTTGTCGCCCCGGCAGCATCATTGGCCCACAGCAACAGTTCCTAGAAGACCTAGAGGAGATTCTGCATGCCATGGGCAGGGCGGGAGTTGAGGGGTTTGACATCAGCATGATGAGCAGCAAGCAAGACTCTGAGTATGGCAGCACTGAATACACGGACAAGCTCGCATACATGGTAACTGAGAGTATCAGCCACAGGGGACGCAAGATCATGCAGCGGTCGGAGTCTGTCCATCAACAGCTGGGGCCTGATGCGAAGCCAAGCCCTGTCGGGGCACAGGGTGAGGATGCGAAGACCATGAAAGCTCTTCAGAACGTTAAGCCAAACTCCCCCAAGCAGAAAAACAGTGTGCTTCGATATTTGTGGGAGAAGCGGAAATCTCTTTTCTCTAGTGCAGAGGTGACACAGGAGGAGAGTTGCGGCCAAGCAGCAGGGATGATGTATGGAGGTCTCGAGCGGGTCAACACTTTCTGATATCAAATGTTTCAACTTTATTTGTTTAAAATTTTACAGTGTTTTCAATACACTTGAATCGTAAGATCTCATGGCAATTTGTCTCTGCCGCTTTCCGAGTTCTTATGACATAGCCGGCCGCACTGCGGCACAGGCTTTGCAAGCCGCGGGTGAAGCCGTCCGATCAGGCTATTAGGCAGGCTACGGTACAGCGGCAGTCACGGCTGTCCGAGTGCTCAGCGGCGGCAGCTCAGTGTCACAGTCCGACATCCGATCATGCGACTCAGCGTCACTGGCATTGCCGGCACCCGGCCCGCCGGTACGGTCCTACCGTCTCACTGTCAGTGTCGGACAGTCCGTGACGCCGGGACTCGAACTTGGGCCAGTCACTGAGTGACTGAAAGTGCACTGAACTCGTACTGCTTTTTAACTTAACTTTGAGTAAAAGGGAACTCAGTGATCGGCTGACTGAGGCTATACGATGCCCCGGCGGAATGGCGCGGCCATTTCGAATGGCACTGCCGCAAGTATCGGAACTCGGAAACTTGAAACTGAGTTGCCGCCGCACGGCCGCCGGCCCGCGTGTCTGGGACCGGGCACCGTGTGGTCACGCCGGGTGCCACTCAGTCACACTGTGCGGCCACTTCAGTGCCGCCGACCGTCCGGGCCGGCCGGTCGCCGGTCACTGGTCACCGGGTCGGGTGCCCGGAGCCTCCGAGAGTACGGGCCACCCGATATCCCGGGCCGGGTGAGAGTCGAGGCGGACTTGGCTCAGATGCGGCGAGTGATGCGGATTTATGGGATTTATTGGAGAAAGATGGGGAGGAGGAGGAGGAGGAGGGGGAGGGGAACAAAAGAACAAGGAACGAGTGAAAATAGAATCATGTTGGGGAGGAGACGAGATTGAACAGGTCTCAGACAGAGGGAAGGGGGGGAGAGGAGGGGAACAATATTCTTCATCTTCATCACCTCTTTCACGATCAACCAAGTTATGCTGATCAATGTAAACCTATCCAGCATCATGTCACTGATCCCTGCGCGGTCGTCTTGGCCCCTGCAACTTCTGCTACTCTCAGCGCTGGTACTTCATGTGATGACCGGGCCATGTGTGCTGACGGCAGCTCTCGGTAGGTTGTCGGCTGCGGCTCCGATGGAAACCTTCATCAAAGCTCGGCGCTGCATCTGGTGAACTTCTGCCTTCGTGAAGGAAGCTTGTGACGTGAAGGAACAGCGAGCTGTGAGGACTCTGAGTCGCATCCGGGGAGGGCGCCAGGTACTCTGCTTGATCTCCGTGGAGAGCAACTGACAAACGTGCATGCAAGGCTTGTTCGCCGCCGCAGGGATCCTCTGAGGTTGAGGGACCGCAACTGCCGCCTGCTGCGGTGAGTCAGCAGCTTCTAGCGGGATTGGCAGGGCGGGAACGCGCCTGAGATGCTTTAGGCCCCCGCGCCATCGGAAGAGGAGGAGAGCTCCGAGGACGCGGAGGAGAGAGACTCAGGAGAGTCGGACGTGAGATTGGAAGAGGATGCTGACTCCAAGGATTCCTATGTGTCAAGTTCAATGGACAAGGATGAGGACAAGGACGAGGATGAGGACAAGGACGAGGGCAAGGTGAAGGACGAGGACGAGGTGAAGGAGGTAGAAGTGGGATGGGACGAGGACGAGGATAAGGGAAAGAAAAGAGGCAGGAAGACACGCAAGGCAAGCAATGCTGCCAGGTGAAGTTAGATCAACATGGTGGCCCGCATGTCCTGACGTCATGGTTGAAAGGTTCATCGCAAGAGTCGAACGTACAATGGGAGTGAACGCGACTGCGGGTCAAGACGTTTATGCTGTTTGCTTTGCATCCTGACGGTGGGCAGAGGAGCAAGAATACGAGACGCAAAGCACGAGTGCAGAAGGGATTTCTCTGTCGGAGGAGGAAGTGAACGCTGAGGAGGATGCGGAGGAGGAGGGCTCGGGGGTGAACTTTGAGGAAGGTTCGACTGATTTTGTTTGCGCCTCGTGTTCGCTTGCAAGTGTTTGGATGCGACTCAATCGTGTGCGCCGTTGCTCCATGTGTGCATGCGATATGTTGAAGAGGAGGATGAGAATGAGGACGATGACGGGAAGGACGAGGACGAGGACGAGGACGAGGACGAGGACGATGACGATGATAATGACGAGGACGATGACGATGTTGATCCTAATTCAAATGAACCCTGCCCTTGAAAGAGCTCACGGTGTATTGTTGCAGTCCTTGAGCAGGCGAAGCAAGGAGACAAGTATGCTCAGTTTGAGCTTGCGGTATTCATGTTGGTTACGAGAACTTGCACTCGTTCACTTGAGGAACAAACAGGAGATTTTTTCCTCCGGCGAACACTGCAAGAAAGACAAAAACATGTCTATGTTCTGGTGAAACTATTCTCTCTACTTACCGTGTTCCTTCTCTTTCTTCTGATCCCTTCTCCTCATCCCCGCCCGTCCCTCCTCCTCCCCGCCCCTCCCTGCTCTTCATGTTTCTTTCTTCCTGAGGTTTTGTTCTGCTCTAAAATGTTTTCCGTCTAGGTTGAGGACTGCAGCAGAACATGGACACGTAGATGCGCAAGTAGGGCCTCCCTCCTCCTCCTCACCCCTTCCTTTCCCTCCTCCTCCCTTTCCTTCCAACCTCCCCTTCCTCCTCCTCCTTCTCATCATCATCATCATCATCATCATCATCATCATCATCATCATCATCATCATCATCATCATCATCATCATCATCATCATCATCCCTTCCCTTCCCTCCTCCTCCTCGTCCTCCTCCTCCACCACCACCACCACCACCACCACCACCACCACCACCACCTCCTCCTCCTCCTCCTCCTCCTCCTCCTCCTCCTCCTCCTGCTCCTCCTCCTTCTCCTCCTGAACTACTACCACCTCCTCTTTCTCCTTCCTCTACTCCTCCTCCCCCATCCTCTTCCTCCTCCTCGTCCTCCTCCTGAACTACTACCACCTCCTCCTCCTTCTCCTTCACCTTCTCTTCCTCCATCACCTCCTCTTCCTCCTCCTCCTCCTCCTTTTGCTCGATTTCCTCCTCCTTGATCGCTTCCTCCTCGATCTCCTCCTCCTTCTCCTCGACCTTCTCCTTCCTCTGCTCCTCCTCTTCCTGGTTCTCCTACTCCTCCTTGTCTCGTTACACTTCCCTCCTCTTTTCCTTCCCTTTTCTCGTGTGTCTTTCTTTTTACTGGCTTGTGAAGTTACAACTCGCTACTCGCCTGGCCCGAAAGAAGGCAACAGGCAACCAGGTCTCCTCCTCCTCCTCCTCCTCCTCCTCCTCCTCCTCCTCCTCCTCTTCCTCCTCCCTTTACTCTCAAGCAGACGGAAGCAACACATTGGTACCTGCAAGCAGCTGAAAGGGGAGTGGGTGAGATTACAGAGAGTGGGAGCATGAGCATGAGACGCAACGCAGCGTCGGCGCAGCACAACGTGGCTGGGCGTTTGTTTCAAGGGATAGGATGCTCCAAGGTGAACGTTCTACCATGTTCTCCTCCTCCTCTCCTGCCTTGACCGCTTCTTGCTCATCGTCCCATGTCAGAATGCCACGAAAGCTATCGAATACTACAAGAGAGCGGCCAGTCGAGGAATTACCAAGGCTCAGGAAAGCAGGAGGGGAGGAGGAGGAGGAGGAGGAGGAGGAGGAGGACAGTAGGAGGGAAAGGAGGACGACAGGAGGAGGAGGAGAAGCAGAAGGAGAAGGGATGGGGTGTGGCGCTGGAGGGTGGGTTTGGGGACAGCAGCAGCAGCAGCAGCAGCAGCAGCAGCTGATGTCAAAGAGATAAGCCGCTAACTTGCCACCGTGCAGCTGATGCTGGCAACCATCTACGAAGAAGGAGAAGTGGTGGATCAGGTGGAGAGAGGAGGATTGACGACAAGAAGATGGAGAGGGAAGTTGAGGAGAAGGGGGAGAAGGAGGAAAATTCAGTCAGAGAAACGAGCGCGAGGAGAAAGGACGAGCACGAGGAGGACGGAGGAGCAAGGGAGAGGAAGGAGGAGAAGCAAGGGATAGGAAGGAAGAGGAAACAGGGGAGAGGGAGGAAGAGGAGGGAGGAAGAGGAGACTTGAACATTCACACGTTGCAGGACATTCCAAGGGCTGTGAAATATTACCAGAAGGTACAGGAGCACGTGCGAGCATGCGAGTGACTGTGAGGTGAAGGCGGCGGACGCGGGGGATGAGCGAGGGGAAGCAAGCCTGGGGGTCCTGCTGATCCAGGTGAGAAAGGGAGAGAGAGAGGGTGACAGACAGACAGACAGACAGACAGACAGACAGACAGACAGACAGACAGACAGACAGACAGACAGACAGACAGACAGACAGACAGACAGACAGACAGACAGACAGACAGACAGAGACAGAGACAGAGCTGGAGTAGCTGCAGAAATTTGGGAGCAAGAAGAGACAAGGGAGGATTTAGTTGCTCCTCCTCCTCCTCCTCCTCCTCCTCCTCCTCCTCCTCCTCCTCCTCCAACTGGAAACTTTTGGCTGAAAGGACTGCGCAGGGAAGTCACGGGCTGAAACAAGACGCGGAGGTGAGAAGCTCGGTCTATTTTCTGTTCCTTACGGGCAGCAGGAGGGACTGGCGCTACTGCATTCCGCTGCGAACAAGGTAGATGATGCGCCGATGCAATGAACACGAGCTGGGACAGGAGCAGGAGCAGGAGCAGGAGCAGGAGCAGGAGAAACCGAAAGAGGAAGACACGGAGGAGGGGGGGGAGGAGGAGGAGGAGAAGAAGAAACATGGGGAGAAGAAAGACGAGGAGAATGAGAAGAAATAAGAAAGAGAAGGGGTACTGAGGAGGGCAGGGATAGGGAAGGAGAGGAGAAGGAATTTGGTAGGAAGGAGTGAGCAAGAAGCCTGAGAGG